TCATTTGGAAAAGTTAAAACTCAGCACTTAATGTGAATTTAGATGAGCGTAGGAGAGGATTTTTATGGGCTTGTGTTCCTCCGAGCATCCTGAGGGCAGTGAGAACACAAGACTTCTGATCTTCTAAACAAAAATCATTATCAAATGGATTTATTAAAGAGCTAAGCAGAACAAACTGCAGTCATATGTGTGTAGCTACAGTTGGCTTCCATGGGAATTATAAATGGCTCTGAGAACACTTTCAATTGATTCAGAATAAAACAATTGAAGGCTTGCAACAAATGTACAAAAAACTAAAAGCAATGATTAACCCTGACATGAAGAATCTCTGTTACATTTGCTTGTAAAATTTATGTACTTTGTTTCTTTTTTAACCCTCTGTTTAAAAAATCCAGCATTCTCGTCTGAAAGAAAAAAGAAAATATAGGCTCTTGGCAAATACCTGTGAACAAGTGAAGAAAAGTGATGGGGCCGCTTCTGCAGTAGCTTTCCATCAGAGATAATGTTTTATCTTGAAGCTAGTACATCTATTTTTAAAACTCATTTACCTCCCTACACACTCATGATTTATTTGCATATTGACACAAAAGCTGGCTTCATCATCCATCATCAATCAGACAAAAAAAAAATCTATCAAGCACCCACAGGATGCACAGATCTGTTTTTGAAATGGTGTCATGGTGTCAATCTGTCCTAAAACTAGGAGTACTTTTTTGAAAAGAAGCTATAGTACGTTGAGAAGTATTATCATTTTTCTGGGAGGAAAAGTTGCTAAATACTGCAGCAAACTCCTCACAGAAGCCACAAAATCACCTCTGAAGTTTTTAAGGAACAACTCCCTGAAGTCTAGAATTTATGAGACCAGCAAATGTAAAAATTTCACAACTCTAACACACATCTATCTAGGGCTCAGTGAAGACTTGCCTCAGATTTATATGTCTAATTAGGTTTAAGCTTAAAAGTACAACATGAAAAAACCTAGAATGTTTCAAATAATCTGAAATAGCAATCCTATGACAGTTATAACAACTGCAATTTCAAACACCAAGGCTTGCATAACTTCACAATATAATCATCTCAAAACATGTGATCAAAAACTTTGGGTAGGAGTTTCTTTCATAAATTCTTCGAGGACAGCTACCACACTTTTGGCTTCGGGCATTTCTTCGTGTTCCACTTTAACAATCTTCAAAAGGATATCTCCACTACCACAGTTCTTTAGGAACATGTAACATTTAAACAAAGCATAATGATTCATTTCTGCCTGCCGGATAAATCTCTTCAAATTATTTGTGTCTTGTATGGCCTAGAAAAAGATTACCCAGTTAAATGTGAGTTTAGTGAGATAATAATGAAGCCTGAAAAAGACCTCCTATCCAGCTGAGAACTCAACATATGTTACTGAAATGTTTGCTTTTTATTTTTGAATATTTTCACCATTTTTATTGCTAATATGCTTTGCCCTTGGTAGAACAAAATCTTTTATATATATAAAGTAAAAATACTTTACAAATCTCCTAAATAAGGTGACAACATGCCTCCCCACCAAAATTTTGAACCCTTAGGCATGGAACTCCTTTTTTTGTGCTTTCCAACTAAGATATGTCACAAATTACAAGACTGACGTCCTTGAAATATAAGCAAGCATTCAATCCAATTAATTGGATATGCAATGGGACATATGCAGAAGCCACTGAAAAATATAAATGGAATGCCTTTTGAGGATTCTAGTTCGTGTTTGTTTTTAAAAACTTATTTTAATTATTGTGAATAAGGCTTACGGTACAAAATAGATACAGAATAATGCAAATTTATGGTTAAGACCCGGACTCTACTTGACAATTTATCAAAAAATATAAAGATACTGTTTACATATAAAGAATGACAGGTAACATCCTTCATTAGTATTGCCTTTACAATTTATAATGTCGCTATATCACAGTGGATAGATTTGCTCCATTGAAATGTGTCTTTTTGTTTGTTTATTTGCAAATAGTAAACTGACATGAAAAAATGTTCAGCCTGAATAATAATTAAAGACAGATTTGAACAGCTATGGAGTGCCAGTATTAAATTAATAAAAATAAATAAGATTGATGAAAACTGTTATATTAGGTTCTGCACAGAAAACCCACACACATTGCTGGCCATTCTGTAATTTGTTCCTATTTTTCTGAAGTGCAAGCTGGCAATTTGTAATAGGAACCAAAGCATTCAAACCCTTTGACTTGGTAATCCCACTTTAGGGAATATACCCTAAGGTAATAATCCAAATGAAAAAAATACGATCCAGCAATGCTCCTTCTGCATCTACCTGAAGAAAACAAAAACACCTATTCAAAAAGGTATCTGCACCCTCATGTTCCCTGCAGCATCACCAATGACACGAAGAACCCAAGTGTCCACTGAACGGATGAGTGGACAAAGAGACTGTGGTATATATACCCAGTGGAATACCACTCAGCCAGGAAAAAGAATGAGATCCTGCCATCGGTGACAACACGGATGGACCTCAAGGGCATCGTGCTAAGTGAAACAAGTCCGACAGAGAAAGACAAATACCACACAATCTCTTCTACATGTGGAATCCAAATATATATAGAGTTAAAAAAAAAAAACAAAACAAGCTCATAGACTTCGAGAACAGACTGGTGGCCACCAGAGGCAGGAGGTAGGGAGTGGGAGAAATGGGTGAACTGTTTTGGTTTTGGTTGAAATAAACTGAATTTTTAAAATACAAATAAAGGGACTTCCCTGGTGGTCCAGTGGTTAAGAATCCGTCTTGCAATGCAGGGGATGCTGGTTTGATCCCTGGTCAGGGGACTAAGATCCCACATGCTGTGGGGCAACTAAGCCCGTGCGCCACAACCAGAGAGCCCGCACGCCGCAATGAAGAGCCCACGCTCTGCAACTAAGACCCGACACAGCCAAAAAATAAAAATAAATAAAAAATAAATAAAGCAAATAAAAACAGTGATATACCATCGTCACCCTGTCAGATTAGCAAAGATGAAAAGTTTAGGTACCCAGTGGTCACTGGATATGGGAAAACTGGCACTGAGGATTCTAGTTTTGAGAATGACATCATAGCTATAAAGCAGATTTGTTACTCAGTCACCGGTACTAATTACAATTCAGACAAAGACTATGCGTGGCACTCTCGGCACACAGCCAATTAGTTACCTTTAGTTTAAAGTTCTCCAGGATTTGTCGAAAAAGAAAAGGGTTACCTCCTTCAGCACCATTCAAAAAAGCCTGCATCCAATCCTCACAAAACCGATTGCTTCCTATAAAATATTTTAGAAAAATAAATAAAAGTGAAATCACAAGACATTTATTCTTCCTTTTTTTTTTTTTTTCTTTTATTTATTTATTTTTTTTGCGGTACGCGGGCCTCTCACTGTTGTGGCCTCTCCCATTGCAGAGCACAGGCTCCGGATGCGCAGGCTCAGTGACCATGGCTCACAGGCCCAGCCGCTCCGCGGCATGTGGGATCTTCCCAGACCGGGGCACGAACCTGTGTCCCCTGCATCGGCAGGCGGACTCTCAACCACAGCGCCACCAGGGAAGCCCTATTTTCTTTTTTTTAAATTGAGGTGTAATTGACATATTAGTTTCAGGTGCACAACATAATGATTCAATATTTGTATACATCATGATATTCTTTCCTCCTTTATAAAAACTCTTATAATGAATTATTTAAGACTTCTATAATGGTCTAAAAAAACTTAACTCACCACCTGGTTAAGGAATACCAAAATGGTTGAGGCTCCAATGTGCCTCTTCCCAATCGCATCCCCTTCCTTTCCCATCAGAAAGAATTATCATGCCCATGTCTTTCTTTAAACTTTTGCCACATACTTTATCTATAATCCCTATATAGTATTATTTTGCATATGTTAAATGTTATCAGTTCTCCTGTTGACAGACACTTAAGTTGCTTTCAGTTCTTTGCTATTTCAAATAGTGCCCTTATGAACATCTTGTATTTGTCTCCTTGTGTACATATACAAGAGTTCTCTATATTATACCTAGGAGAAGAATTGCTAAGCATGACATGATTTCCACGTTTCTAAAACTGCTATTGTTTTTGGTGATTTGGGGATAAACATGTAAAACTGCACAAGACAGGAAGGATAAGTTCATTTGTTCTCAGCGCAAAAAAGGAGATTCACAAGCCTGCTCCCGGGGTTGTGGCTCACCTGCGTTGTGGCTCACCTGCGTTGTGGAACTGAGGCTGGGAGCTACTACAATCGATGATCACAGACTTATGCTGCTCCTCTGTCATGGCCATGCACAAAGACGTCATGGTGCCTTCGTGAATAAGGCCTTGGAGACTGGCCACACTCAGAAACCTGCCACACACACAATCCTTTTGCACAAACTATATTACAGGATGGGAGGGAGGAAGCAAATTCATTCTGCACTGGGAGCGGGGGTGGGTGTTAAAAACATAAACATCAGGCTTGCTGCGGAAAAGGTTCTCTCTTTGCAAAACTGTTCTTTACCTGTGAATGTCTCTCTTTGTTTTTTCATCGGATTCTTTAACCTCAACAGGAGTATAACTCAGCGCCTATGAGAGAAAAATAAAGCCTAACTGATACATGTATTCCAGTTTTCCTTGTTGTGCAGCCACTTGTGACTAAACATCACCTCCCCCAATAACCACCACGCTAGACGGTGCTTGCTGGGCACTGTCCGGGAGCTCTCCAGAGCCTTGTTCAGCTGTTGCTCACTAATGGTCTGAAACCTGGCTTCACCACCTGGGCTTGTGGGGCCAATCCAACCTCAGCTGCATCTACCTACCACATATTTACATGAAAAACCTGGCCATTTACTTGAGCCTACCCCATTGTCTGGATATTTTAGTGAATTTTTCATTTTTTATTTGGACATTTTTATATAGGTAAAATCACTTTTGATTTCCATTTTCCTTCTCAAATTATTGTGGAAATTACACCTCTTCCAGATCACTTCAAAGAGTAATTATTTTAGGGAGTTCCCTGCTGGTCTAGTGGTTAGGATTCGGGGCTTTCACTGCCGTGTCCCAGGTTCAATCCCTGGTCAGGGAACCAAGATTGCATAAGCTGTGCAGCGCAGCCAAAAAAAAAAAAAGGTAATTATTTTAAAACGTTTTATCCTATTAGAAGACTCAGTATTTGCAATTCTACCTTAGTAGTGTAACTTTCTAGATCTGAATAAATAGAGTGTGGTCTATCCTAATGCAGGCATTGTCTGAATGAATATTTGGGGGGGAAGGTAATGTTCAGAGAAAATAAGTATGTCTTGAAATAATCCAAACTCGGCCAAAGTGATTCTCAATTAAGGAAATGCTTTTGTTTGGGCAATACTTACAGCATGTAGCAGAAAGGTAAGCTGCTCCTGAAAGAGATGAACCACCCTTTGGATTGGGCATACAACATCCTCAAACCAGCTGCTCAGGTAGGACTGTACATGGTTCTCCCCACCCCTTTCCTAGATCAAGAGAGAATGTCATTTGCTTTGATATCAGCCTTCACCTTGGACTTAACATTTTCTTTATGATACTCTTGACAGTGAAAAGAACTGGGGATAGACACCTTCTTTTAAGCTAACACCACAAATTTTAAAAAAGGAATTGTGATATAACTTTGCTGGGCTTGTTGGGCAGAGTGGGGATTAATTCACTGCTATTTCTTCACTGAAAGGAGTTGGGGCATTTACATGTCAATCTCCTCCCACTGTACTGTGAACTCTTGGAGACACTCTCTTAATAATCCTCATCTCCCCAGCACCTGGCACAGCGTCTGAAACGTCCATGGATGAGCTTATAAAGTGCCTGCTGAATGACAAAGAATGCAGATGGTTCGTTCACACTCGAAATGCGAACAGGGAAGGATACAAGTCATCGCATCAAAGCACTCAAGCCCACTCCGGGTGTCAGACACACTGCCAGGAGCCCATTTGGCTTCCTTGGCTGTGCTGCTCCCTGGGGCTGGAGGGAGAGCTCCAGCCTGGGAGAGCAGCTCCCCCTAGACTCGTATCCCCGGCTAACTCCTATGCTATCCTTTCCCCTCCTGCAGTGTCTTGTAAGCACATGCACGACAAGTGAAAGGAATTGGGGAGTAAATTTTAAGAGTTATGACTTAACTGCCACCAACCAAATGCATAGTTTTTAAAAGGTATGGATAAAGGAATTGATACGGATGTATCTAATTTATAAAAGATCGATTAATGAAAAATGGGATGTTTCTAAAAATCTTTGAGGTTGAGTTCAAGGACAGTCATCCCATTGCATAGCATGTCTCTGGTGCCAGAGGCTTTGTGGGCCATTAGTTCTGACCAGAATATAAATCTTATGTGTCTAGAAACTGGGAAAAGAACGTCATCTTCCTTGCTTGGCATGTTACTATATACCTTTGAATTTAATTGAATTTTTCATAAATGCAAAACTTCAGAAGCAGTCTTGGTGAAACTTACAGCACTTATAGGACTATGTTCCCTGCTTCCCTTAACAAGCACCTTTCTTTTTTTTCTTCTTTTTTTAAAACAGAAATCCATTTTAAATTAATTTATGTATTTTTGGCTGCGTTGGGTCTTCATTGCTGCACGTGGGCTTTCTCTAGTTGTGTGGAGTGGGGGCTACTCTTCATTGTGGTGCGCGGGCTTCTCATTGCGGTGGCTTCTCTCGTTGCGGGGCACGGGTTCTAGACATGCGGGCTCAGTAGTTGCGGTGCACGGGCTCTAGAGCGCAGGTTCAGTAGTTGTGGCGCACGGGCTTAGTTGCTCCGCAGCATGTGGGATCTTCCCGGACCAGGGCTCGAACCCGTGTCCCCTGCATTGGCAGGTCTTAACTTAACCACTGCACCACCAGGGAAGCCCCCAAGCACCATTCTATTAGCCTGCAAACTAGCACATTTTCAGAATTTCGAAGTTGTCCACCTGGAACCCGTGTCCCCTGCATTGGCAGGTGGATTCTTAACCACTGCACCACCAGGGAAGCCCCCAAGCACCATTCTATTAGCCTGCAAACTAGCACATTTTCAGAATTTCGAAGTGTCTGTGTCCACCTGGATGATTTGACAAGTATAGCAGTCGCATAATGTTAATCATCTCAGTCTTTAAAAATATTAATGCAGGGACTTCCCTGGTGGCCCAGCGGTTAAGACTGCACGCTCCCAATGCAGGGGGCCCAGGTTCAATCCCTGGTCAGGGAACTAGATCCCGCATGCCACAACTAAAGATCCCGCGTGCTGCAACTAAGACCTGGCACAACCAAATAAATAATAAATATTTTTAAAAAAAGAATGAAACTCTTTAAAAAAAAATTAATGCAATCATCTTACCTCACAGTTCATGTTATTTTTCAGCCCTTGAATATACTTGTCCAATTCAAGCCTGAAAGTATGTTCTTAAGGAAGCAATAAAGGATGAATCAAGAAAGGGTTTTATTTCTCAATAGGTAATATAAAAATCTCTCAAATAACTGTCAGTTAAAACAAGCCAAGACAAACTGGTCGTATGGAGGTCTGAAATTGAAGTTAATGCATAAGAGGTAGAAAACCTTTTCGGAGGTTGCTAGTAATAATCCTCTACTTGCCTGCCAATATTTTCCTTCCTGATACCCTCAAAGACCAAAGAAAGGATATAGCTCAAGTCCTTTTTCAGACCCTCCTAAAAAGCAGACCACATACTCTGAACAGTTATGTTCAGAGTCTGTTGTTGTTTGGGAAAGCAGTTTTTCTTGTCGGAAAAGGCAGTAATAACAACCAACTTGGTAACCTGGAGTTCTAGAAAAGAAAGAAAAAGGTTAAATGTATTATTTTGATAACTCATGCATGTAGTTCTGTAGACTCCTCTGAGCCCTGGTCATCCTGATCTGGCAATACCATTAGACTGCTCAGTAGGTCAGAGCTTCCCAGACTTCTTGGTTTACTTGTAACAACAGAGGAAAATGAACATATACCATAATGGGCTTTAGCTAAAGCAGCACCTAACAAACATGGAATTTCTTTGAATTCTTCTGTCTTATGTGAAAAATTCATGCAAATTTTACCCTTGTTCATAGTTTATCCATGTTCACATAAATATAATCATCTTTTCTCCCTCCCCTAAACCTTCACGAATCACTGAAGCTCCAGGCACATGTGAAGTGTTTATGCGATGGCCTTATCTTTGGTATGTGGCCTCATACTCCTGAGAGGACTTGATGCCAATATCATGGTCTGAAGTGAACTACAATCAAGGGGTGTAGTGGAAAGATGGCTGGAATTCAACTGAGGACACCTGTATTTAAGCCTGAATTCCATCAATGTGACCAGCCTTGGGACCTCAACTTCTCTGAGTTTATTACCTCATCTGAAAATGGAAGTAAGAGTATCTGCTTTATCACCCCTTTGTAAGGAGAATGGCATTGAAGTTTGTGAAAGCCCTTTACAACTGTAAAGTATACAGTTATAATTTTGGTAATGAGCTCTTTTCTTCCAAGTACAAGACTAAATACGTACACTGAGGAGGCAGAGTCTCTGCCGTTCAGTTAATTCCATTCCACAAAAATGTGTGTGAGGCCCAGTGCTCAGCTGCCAGGGAACAAAGATGAACTTTGCAGGTCTAGTAGGTACTGATCTTTTGGAGTTTCTCACCACTTCTCATATTTAGCTCAGAAATAAAATCTCAGGATACAGCACATTTTATACTTACCTCAGCTCCACAGATGCAACATTACCCAGCCCTTCAAAGACTGCTCCCTTAGAAAGACGCTTAGCAATGAAACTGCACAGCTCTGGCTCCAATTCAGATGGTAGATTAGTATCCGCCAAGGAGAGGCTTGACAAATGAAAGACACACGTTCCTTACCAGTGGACTCTGCATTTACACCCCATAAGTCAGACAGGACATCGCTAAAAGCCCTCACTAAGGACTCAGCAAAGCTTTCTATCTGACTCCTGTTGGTGAGGCTTCTAGGAATGTATATCACCAAGTATGATCTACCTCATCCATTTAAAATAGTTCTATCTTTCCAGCTCATTCTCTCTAGTATTATGACTCCACTGGGACCCCCAAGCCACTGACCTTATATCTTTTTCACAGTAGCCTCAAGTTTCTCATCCTCACCTCCTTCCTCCTTACCCAGCCTAAATTTCAGTCATTGTAATCACACCCCTGCAGACATTCTCATTCAACCCCTTTGTTTTCACCTCCCTGTACCTGCTTAGCAAAACTTCAGCCCTGGTTAGTCCAGCTCTCTACCTACTCTGCATCTGCACCTCTGCAGCTGAATGTGGTTGGACAAAAACCCATATCCACAGTGTCTAGTCTCATTTTAAATTAATGACCACTAGGAATTCCCTGGCGGTCCAGCGGTTAGGTTGGTGGTTTCACTGCTGTGGGCCCGGGTTCAATCCCTGGTTGGGGAACTAAGATCCTGCAAGCTGTGCAGCACAGCCAAAACACATACATACATACATACATACATACATACATAAATGACCACTAGCCTCCAGTGGGCCCTACCGCTGCCCAGCTATCACATTTCCTGGTTCACTCATTCTTCAACTCTTTGAGATCTCTATTTTTCTTTAAATTAATTAATTAATTTATTTATTTATTTTGGCTGCATTGGGTCTTCGTTGCTGAGCGTGGGCTTTCTCTAGTTGTGGCGAGTGGGGGCTACTCTTCGTTGCAGTGCGCAGGCTTCTCATTGCGGTGGCTTCTCTTGTTGCGGAGCACGGGCTCTAGGCACATGGGCTTCAGTAGTTGTGGCTCGCGGGCTCTAGAGCACAGGCTCAGTAGTTGTGGGACACATGGCTTAGCTGCTTCACGGCATGTGGGATCTTCCCAGACCAGGGCTTGAACCTGTGTCCCCTGCATTGGCAGGCGGATTCTTAACCACTGTGCCACCAGAGAAGTCCCTTGAGATCACTATTTCATGCCTCCTCTTCTTTCCTCAATCCTCCAACTACCTACTACCCATTAATAAACACATCAGCTTAGTGATCATTTATGAGCTAAACATAAACACTTCAGTTTGGTTGAGATTAGAATATAAACAGAAACTATGAATTGAATATGCAGGAAGAAAAGCTCTTCTATC